AGCCGCGGAGGACCGTGTGGGGGGTTGGCGTTGTTTCGAGGCCGCGCCTCTCGATCTCCGCGCGCGCGCGACGGCGAGTGTGGCGGCGGTGGCGCGAAAAAGGGGAAGCAGGATCGAGGTGGAAGGTGGGTGGGCCCCGTCGCAAGCAGCGTCCAGAGGATGCCCTGCTATCCTCCTCTCACCTCCGGGTCTCCTCTCCCCGCCCCCGTCCTTGGTGCCTTGCCCCCGTCGCATTTGCGTGCGCGTGTGTGTGTGTGTGTGTGTGTGTGTGTGTGTGTGTGTGTGTGTGTGTGTGTGTTTGTGTGTGTGTGTGTGTGTGTGTGCGTGTGTGTGTGTGTGTGTGTGTGTGTGTGTGTGTGTGTGTGTGTGTGTGTGTGGGGGGTGTCGTCGGATTCCGGGGAGTGGCAGGGGATCTGATCCAGGGCCGCCGGGGCCAGGGGTAGCACCGCCACCTCCGCTCCCAATGTCCGCCATCGCATTGCTATTTGAGCCCATCGAGGGTGCGCTTCCCTGTGCCGGCGCATTTGCGCCCTCCTCACCCCCCCGACGTCTCATGCCATTTTGGTTCAGGCGCTCGGCTGTTCAGAACAGCCCGCCCACCGCCCTGGGGCATCAAGTTCCTGGGAGTGGCGGAGGCCCTGAATCAGGGCCCCCGGAACCGCCACCCGATCACCTGACACTTCCTGCCCGATATCCCGCCATCGCATTGCTATTAGGGCCCATCGAGGATACGATGCTCATAATGCGATGTCGTCGGTGGTCATGAGTGTGATGATGATGGTGATGATGATGATGATGATGGTTATGGTGATGTTGCGGTTGGCGTGGCGATTACGATTCTAGTATGGTTCACCACGATGGTGTTGATGGTGATGATGGCGACGACGGCGATGGTGACGATGATGGTGATTGTGTTTGTGATGGCGGTGCTGGTAGCGATGCTGATGGGGACGATGGCCCGGATTGTGAGTACCCTGCGGATGATCTTCTTGAGGTCTCACTACTGAATAATAGTTTTTGTTGATCACCCCCCTCTGGTAGCGTATGTGCTTTCCCGATTGAAGTGCCTTACCGGGGCTCGCACCCTGTTTTTTTTTAAGGCTCATTCTCCTCAATCTGCGCTGTTAGCCCCCGAACTACAACAACAACGGTTCCCGCTTGATGTTTTTTTTCCGCAATTTCTTGCAGAGGAATCGCGCTCGTGCTCGGGACTTCCGTGCATCTTATACACGAATCGATCTCTCGCCAGTGGCATCCCCGCAATGTATTCAAGCGAGGAATCGCGCTCTTTTTGGGACTTCTTTATAATTTACTTAGGAATCGCGTTGTCGCCCGAGAATCCTTTGCGAATCATGCAGGACTCACGCTTCGCGTAACATGCATGTTTTCCAATTGAGGTGCCCCTCCCGGGGCTCGCTGTGTTTACCGGGGGAAGTCTTCCTGCTCAAACTGTGCCCCTTTGGCCCCGGGTTTACATCAACAACGCTTCCCGCCTGATGTTCCCCCACAGTTTATTCCCAAATCGCGCTCCTGCGAGGGACTTCCTCATATTTCTAAATGCATGAGTTACGCTTTCGCGTGGGACATCCTTGCAGTTTATTCAAACGCCACGCCCTTAATACTCAGGAATCACGCTCTCGCTGTGGATTTCTTCAAGATTCATTGGTGAATCGCGCTATCGCTCGAGACTTCCTCGCGACGCATGCAGGACGCACGCTTTAGCAACCCGCCTTTTCGACCTGGCCGTCTAGACCCGCCTTCCCGACCCGCCTTTTAGGGTCTACCCGCCCGATCTGCCCGTCTCGTCCTGTCACGTGTCTTTTGCTCGTAGCCCCCTCCAATTTTCTCTCGTGCTCCATCTTCCTCCCTCCCCCTTGTCCCTTCCTTCCGTCCTCTCTTTCCCTGCCTTAGGGCTGCGCGGAATACACACGTTGCAGGTAAGAAAGATACACCCCGAAGGGGGTAATCGAAGATGAAGGGGACGGGTATCGATGGTTCAGGATATACGTGTTGAGTGGCACGCGAGCAGGGAAGAGCGAACAGTCTTAAACTGATTGTTGTTGTTGTTGCTGTTGTTGTCTTCGACGGTGGCGATGCTGGGTAGTGCTGTTGAAATCCCCCCAGCCCTCTGGGCGTAGGTGGTCAAACGGATTCTTGTGTTTCTGCACAAACGCCCTCTTCACCGTCGGGGAGGGGTTTTCCCCTCCCTGTAGCTCCTCTATGGTGTCTGGGCGGGGCCGGTGTGTGTGTGTGTGTGTGGAACGGTCAGAGCGCCCAAAATGGGCCCAGAGGGCCTGCGATGCTCCAACATGGCCTCCAAGTTTGCTCAAGATAGCGGAGGGTAGTTCAAACTGGCCCGCATCATGCCCCCAAGAGGTCCCGAGAGAGCCGCAAAGTGGTTTCACATGCTTTCGGCCCCTCCCCCCACGGACTCCCCCCATGAGCCCAACATCCTTCAAACATCAAAGGGCAATCAACGATTGTTGCCTTGTCGTTTTTTCATCCGACGGGTTTTTGAGGCTTCAGTATTGCCCGATCTGGCCGCGGGAGGGGCCAAAAGGCTCCCAAGACGGCCCCAAGAGCGCCCACTAGCGCCCCAAGAGCGCCGCAGAGGCGGCGCTTAGGAGCATTCATGAGGGGGGAGGCGACTCTGGGACCTGCCTTTATGGATCGACGCCCTACAAGATGGCCCCCAAAGGCCTTCCGAGGCTCCCCAAACGACTTCCCAGAGGGCCCCCCAAAGACTCCAAGAAATTTTTCAAAAGAGCCCCATGAGATCCCCAGGGCATTCCACTAGGGCCCCACGAGTGTTCCAACATGGCCCCAAGAGGACCCAAAGAAACTCCACGAGGACCCCAAGAAGACTCCAAGATGGCTCCAAGAGTTCCCGCCCTCGTTGTCCTCCTCTTCCTCCTCCTCATCTTTGTTTTCCTCGTCCTCGTCATCGTCTTCACTTTCGTCATCGTTCTCCTCCTCCGCCTACTCATCGTTCTCGTCATCATCCTTGTTCTTCCCCTGGTCGGCCTCCTTGTTCGCCTCCTCCTCCTCCTCGTCCTCCTCTTCCTCGCTGTCCCAACGAAGGTCTCGAGAGAGCCCCAAGAGGATCTAAAGAGGGTATCAAGTATGTACCAACATGGATCCTCTGGAGCGGCTGTTCCATTGCATGTTTCACACTTCCTTGATCTGGGCAACTCCGCGCTGTGGGAGGTACTTCCTGCATTCGGCGTAGACGCCAAGTATCATTCTTTACTGCCGAAGCTGTACTGCCATCAATCAGCCACGGTCGCGGCGGGAGAAGAGTCAAGGATATTCAAATTATCTCGCGGTGTGAAACAAGGAGACCCGATATCAGCATTATTGTTTAAAGCTGTGTTGGAGTATGCATCCGTGCACTGAAGAAGAGATGGCATGGACTAGATCAGTTCAGGACTGGGCCATATTATGGTTTTGTCATCGACTTTTTGGATGACCGGCTGACGAACTTATGGTTTGCAGACGACGTCTTTTTATTGGCACGCAGCAAATCAGACATTGTGAAAATGCTGAAGGGCTTGACTAAGGAAACTTCCCGGTATGAGCTTGTCGTTCATGTCGGGAACACAGAGATTCTTACACATTCCACATACATGTGTTCAGCGACGGTGAAAGCATCTGGAGAGGATGTTGCTATTCTACAGCCTGGTGATTCGGAACGGTATTTGGGACAGCAGCTGTCTCTTTATGACTTTCATGACAACGAACTCATACACACATATATCTAGTCGTCTGCGTGGAGGGCAGCTGCCAAGTTTAAGTGCGTTCTATGTTCTCGGGCGTACCCGCAGCGTCTGCGGCCGTTCGAGATCGTCCTGGGCCCGGTCGCGCCCCATGCGTCTGAATGCTGGACACTTGGATGCCACATCCGGAGACAGACTCAGACTCGCTTGAGGGAAGATGCTCCGGAACATGTTTCGCGCGGCCAGGGGCGCGGACGAAACGTGCGTGGAGTGCATCAAGCGCTCGGCCCGGAGGATAGAGGAGTGTTGTTCCAATTTTTGCATCAGAAGCTGGGTGTCCATCCGACGCACTCGCAAGTCTGTGTTCGCAGCCCGCATCTTCTTCGACACCGAGAACAAGTGGAGCAAACGGCTGTTGCACTGGACGCAGTGGTTCTTGATAGAAGCCAAACGATCTCAAGGTCGACCTCGTCTGAGATGGAAAGATTCGTTGGATGCGTGAGCGGCCTTCCATGCAGGCGTTTCACTTGGTGCATTTTCTTACTTGCCATAGGCACGTCTGCCCCTTAAGGGACCGCTCCGGCTACCGGAGCCGGCACGCAGACTTCCTGTCCTGTCCCGTCTTTCTGACCTGGGCAGCTCGCCTGGCGATCGCTTCTGGATTGGCTGGTGGGGAGGCGCGGAACGCTTATGATTGTTGGTGGCGGGGTGATGGTTATCATGATCAGGACGATGATGAGGAGAAGGAACAGCAGGCGGGGTAGCCCGATGGAATCGGGACGCAGTGCGGGGGCGTCAGGGAGGAGGATGAGGAAAACAATGGGGAGCAAACGGGGGGAGGCACAACAGGGAAAGGAAGAGGAGGAGGAGGAGAGGAGGAGGAGGAGAAGAGGAGGTGGAGGGACCCAAATATTATCCGATGCGCGGCCCCAAAGGTCACGACCCCTCTCACCGGAGGGAGTTTTCCGTCCCAGTTCCATGTTTGATGGCCCCAGGCCGCGATAGGGGCTCCAGAGACTAAACTTAAAAAAAAAACGCCCCGGTGGACAACACGATATCTTCGGATATCTGGGGAGGAGGAAGGAGAAGGAAGCGATGGATGGAGAAGATGCTCGTGGAGATCATCGACGAGCAGGAGCAGGAGGAGGAGGGAGAGGAGGAGGAGGAGGAGGAGGAGGAGGAGGAGGAGGAGGAGGAGGAGGAGGAGGAGGAGGAGGAGGTTGAGGATGCAGGATGCGGAGGAGGCAGGAGGATGTAGCAGGACTGGGGCAAGGGTGGACGCAGGTCATCGACGGGCAGCAGACCGAGGTCACCGAGTATTACCAGAAACAGCAGCCGAGATCAGCCCCTTATGCGGGGAGGGTGGCTGCCATGGGGCCGCCGCGCCCCCGAGGAGGAAAAGGAGGAGGAGGAGGAGGAGGAGGAGGAGCAGGAGGGGGAGGAGGGCAAGAGGAGGAGGCCGAGAAGAAGAGGGAGGACGTCGACGATTATGATGTTGATGATGATGATGATGATGATGATGACGATGATGACGATGACGATGATGATGCTGATGATGATGCTGATGATGATGATTCTGATGCTTTTGCTGATGATGATGGTGGTGGTGACGATGATAATGACGATGATGATGATGATGATGATGGTGCAGCTGACGATGATGATAGTGATGCTGATGCTGATGCTGATCCTGATGATGCTGATGCTGCTCATGATAATGATGATGACGATGATGAAGATGATGATGATACTGACGATGATGATGATGATGACGATGATGATGATGATGATGATGATGATGATGGTGATGATGATGATGATGCTGATGATGATGATGATAATGCTGACGATGATGATAATTTTGGTGGTGGTAGTGATGATGATGACGATGCTGATGATTCTATTGATGCTGATGATGATGACGATTGTGATGCTGATGCAGACGATCATGATGACGATGATGATGATAATGATGATGATGATGATGATGATGATGATGATGATGCTGATGATTCTGATGATGCTGCTGCTGATGATGATGCTGATGATGCTGATCCTGATGCTGACGAGGATGATGATGATGATGATGATGATGATGATGCTGATGATGATGATGATGATGATGATGATGATGATGATGATGATGATGATGATGATCAGGACGAGGATCAGGATGAGGATGAGGATGAGGATGAGGCTGAGGAGGGGGAGGGGGATGAGAAGGAGGAGGAGAACGAGGAGGTAGAGGAGAGGGAGGAGGAGGACGATTACAAGGATGTGGATGATGCTGGTGATGATGGGTGATGATTATGATGATGCTGCTGAAGATGACGCTGCTGATTCTGATGATGATGCTGATGCTGATGTTGATGATGCTGATGCTGATGGTGGTGATGATGGTGATGATGTCGATGCTGATGCTGATGATGATGCTGATGATGCTGCTGATGATGCTACTGATGATGATGCGGATGAAGCTGTCGACGATGTTCATATTGATGATGATTATGGTGATGATGCTGATGTCGCTGATATTGATGATTCTGATGTTGCTGATGATGATGAAGGTGACGCTGCTGCTGATGATGACGATGATGCTGCTGATGCTGATCATGCTGCTGATGCTGATGATGATGATGAGGATGACACTGGTGATGATGCTGCTGATGATGACGATGCTGGTGACGATGCTGTTGCTGATGCTGGTGAGCTGATGATGATGATGCTGATGATGATGATGCTGCTGCTGATGATGATGATGATGCTTATGATGCTGATGCTGATGCTGATGATGATGATGATGCTGATGATGATGATGCTGATGAAGATGACGACGATGATGATGATGATGCTCATGATGACGATGAGGATGAGGATGAGGAGTAGGAGGAGGAGGATAATGAGGGGGAGGAGGATGAGGAGGAGGAGGAGGAGGAAAAGGAGGAGGTAAATGAGGAGGATGAGGAGGAGGATGAGGAGGAGGAGGAGGAGGTGAGGAGGAGGAGAAGGAGGAAGAGGATGATGATGATGATGATGATGATGATGATGATGATGATGGTGATGATGATGATGATGCTGATGATGATGATGATGATGATGATGATGATGGTGATGATGATGATGATGATGCTGCTGATGCTGATGATGATGATGATGATGCTGATGATGATGATGATGATGATGATGATGATGATGATGATGACGAGAAGGAGGAGGATGAGCCAGGGAGAAGAGGAGGTGGAAGAGGAGGAGGATGAGGAGGAAGGATGGACGGAAGGAATGATGGAACAATGGAAACATGGGAATAAGGAAGGGAGGAAGGACTGAAGGAACTGAGGAGGAGTAGGATGAGGAGGAGGAGGAGGAGAAGGAGGAAGGACGGAGGAGGAGGAGGAGGTGGAGGAGGATGATGATGATGAGGAGGGGGAGGAGGAGGACGAGGTGGAAGAGGAGCAGGGGAGGAGGAGGGGGTCAGAGGAGGAGGAGGAGGAGGAGGAGGCGGAAGAGGAGGATGAGGAGGAGGAGGAGGGGCAAGAGGAGGAGGAGGAGGAGGAGGAGGAGGAGGAGGAGGAGGAGGAGGAGGAGGAGGAGGATGGGGGAGGAGGAGGAGAAGAAGGCGGTGGAGAAGGATTCGGAGGAAGAGGAGGAAGAAGTTGGAATAAACCCTCCATCCAAGCTCCCTGTTCACATGCCCTCACATACGTTCATTTCCACTGAGGGAACGGCATCGTCGGAAGACAACCGGTTGAAGATCTTGAAGCATGCCAGAACACTGTTCTCGTGATTCCAGCGCCACGGGTCAACCTGCTTGTTGCGTGTGCCAGAAAGCCATTCCTGGGACTTCAACACCGCGAACCAACGAAACTGTTGCACCCGCATAATCAGGAACCTTTCCAACACACCATTTCTGGTACTGATCATGGATTTCCGTGGAAATCTTCTAATATTTCTAAACGAATGTGCGCGGCGCTAAGGCGAGAGCCACATTTTGAAAAGGAGCCGCCCTCAATCCGTGAAGCTCTTGCACATCTGTACACGGATGTACGCGGCGCTAAGGCGTGAACCACATTTTGAAAACCACCCGCCCTCAATCCGTGAAGCTCTTGCAATTTGTTCAACCTAATGTGCGCGGCGCTACGGCGAGAGCCACTTTTTTGAAAAGGAGCCACCCTCAATCCGTGAAGCTCTTGCAACTTTTGTAGACGAAGTTGTGCGGTGCTAAGAGGGTGAGCCACATTTTGAAAACGGGTCGCCTTCACTCCGTGAAAATCTTGCAGTAAAAACGCATGTGCGCGGCGCTAAGGCGAGATCCGCATTTTGGAAATCACCCGCCCCCAATCTGTGAAAAAATGCCCATTTTAAGCTTCAGTGTCATGCATGTTGAGGGCGTCTCAGGCGAACCGCCCGGCCCGCCCTAAAACTTGCCTCGGGTGCGACCGGGAGGGGATATTTATAAGGACAAGGAATGGAGGAGGGGGAGGAGGAGGAGGAGGAGGAGGAGGAGGAGGAGGAAGAGGAAGAGGAGGAGGAGGAGGAGGAGGATGATGTGGAGGAGAGGAGGCGGTAAGGCGGATACGGAAGTTGCTCAGAACAACGAGGAGGAGGAAGCGTGAGGCGAGGAGAGGAGGAGGATGGAGGAGGATCAGGAGGATGATGAGCAGGTGGAGGAGGAGGAGGAGGAGGAGGAGGAGGGAGGAGGTGGAGGAGGAGGATGTGTGGAGGAGGAGGAGGCGGAGGCGGAGGAGTGCCAGGATGAGGAGGAGGAAGCGGAGGAGGAGGAGGAGGAGGAGGAGGAGGAGGAGGAGGAGGATCAGGAGGATGATGAGCAGTGAGGAGGAGGAGGAGGAGGAGGAGGAGGAGGAGGAGGAGGAGGAGGAGGAGGAGGAGGAGGGGGCAGAGGAGGAGGAGGAGCAGGCGGAGGAGGAGGAGGATGAGGACGAGGAGAGAGAGGTGGAGGGAAAGGAGGAGGATGCTGCTGCGGATGCTTCTGCTGATGATGGGTTTGATGATCATGGTGACGCTGCTGCTGATGATGATGCTGATGGTGATGATGCTGCTAATGATGGTGATGCTGATGATGAAAATGACGATGATGATGATGATGATGATGATGATGATGATGATGATGATGATGATGATGAGGATGCTGCTGCTGATCATGCTGATGAAGATGATGAGGATGATGATGATGTTGATGATGATGATGCTGATTATGCTGCTGCTGATGCTGATACTGCTGATGATGATGCAGATGATGATGCTGATGCTAATGATAATGCTGATGATGCTCATGCTGAGGACGATGATGATACTGCTGCTGCTCTTGGTGCTGCTGATGATGATGCTGATGCTGATGATGTTCATGATACTGATACTGATGATGAAGATGATGATG